GCATGTGCTGAATGGATTAGTTACTTGGGACTTGTTTCAGACTCATCTGTACAACAGTTCTACCCTTCCAAGCTGCATCTATGAAAGATGTAATCAAGGTATTGAGCCATGGTGGACAGAGAAATCCTGCTTCCCCTCATCAGGTTATTAGGAGGAGTTTTAGCAAGGGGTTGCTGAGAGTCCTGGTTTGTTTCCTGTATGTCGGCACTTCCAAGCTGGGTCAATAATTGCAGTACTTGGAAGCAAGGCTTTTCTTGGTGTGATATGAATACTCCTGAGGCATTCAAAGGTCTCATCTGAGTGTGTGCATATAGAGAAGGAATTGTAAGATGAGCTCTTTTCAATGTACAGTGCTTTCAATTCATCTTCTAGTGAGTTCTCTGTGTTACATCTCCTAGCTTTTGTATTTGATTTCACAAAAGCAGTTGCTAGCATCCTCTGTAGTATAAAAGTTGCTGACCACCATCTTTCCCAGGTATGGCCTAAAAAGAAAACTGCCAAGGAGGTTGTGCACTCCCTCTGTTCTTGCTTTGCACAGTGAGGATTGCCTTAGTTCAGGTGAGAAGAACTGTAGATGAGGAAGGTGTGCTGTCCTAGGGGACTCCTGTCAGTTGTCAAGGATAGGGTCTTTCCATGGCAGTTGTGGTACCATCTCTAAGCCTGGCACAAAAGAATTAAATAAGAATTAGAAGTCTGGATTGCCACATCCTTATTTAGCTAGTAATTCTTGTGGAGATAAAGGACTTGTGTGGACAGTCCTGCTGCTGTGTCAGCTGACACTCTGTATTTTCATTTTTTTTTTCCTGCTTCTCTTTAAATTAATCCTGGTTTTCTTTTCAACTTGTAACAGGTTTAATATTTTTAGATGCTTGGATGTAAAAAGTTTAAGCCTATTCTTGACTTTCAAGTAAATGTTTGGAATGAAACAGGAATAAAAGACATCATACACTAATGGATTAGAAGTTGTCAAAGTATGCCGAAAGCATTATTAGGTCTGGCACTGTGTTGGTGTATGATTAATGTTCACTGTATTTTGTTCTCTGGATAGAAAAAAAAAGAATGAGGGTGAACTTCTTTGTATTTGATAAGGGTGTACCTAATTAAAAAGTGAAATGTTACAAGCTTTTACATGAAATCAAGTCACTTTAATTGGAAAGAGGTATCCCCATTCCCGTCGGTAATTGGACTCTTGATAATTTAAAACCAGGATTCTTGACAGACTGTGATAAATTGGTCCCTTTTAGGCTAAAGAAGCTAAGAAGTTATAATTACTGGTGGATTACTGAATGGTTGGAGAAGCATGATCAAAGAGGTGCAAGTAGATATATAGAAGAGCTGGTAGCTGTATTTTTTTTTTTAAGTAGCCAAGGAATAAATGTGTATTTGATGTGACAAAAACAAAAGCTATACAGTTTCTGAAATCCAAGAAAATTTGAATTCAATCTCCTACCTTTATACCATGCATAAAGAGGAAAAATTGACTGTTTTAGTAAATGGATTAATTACAAAAAAGATAGGAAGAAATCATGTGAGAAAGGTTGAAATATGCTAAACTGTTATAAGAGAAAGTACTATTAAACTGCTTAGAATTTATAATATCATGAACAAATCTGAGTATGATTCTTTGTTTTAGTTCTATGACGTAAACTGAAGACATTGGGGAGACATACTGCAAAAACTAGGGATGGTAGTAACAAACAGTTATTGCTGTATAACTGAATAAATATTCTTCCATAGTGTGAACAGCAGTTTTTAGACTTGAAACAAATTGTATGAAACTTCTAAACTCTGGTGCCAGGTTTTGTAGCTGGGCAAACTAGATCGAAAGAATCATAAAAGCTGGAAAACTTAGTTCTGGGCTGGCACTGCCCTACCAGTGTAGGATCACACTGGTTTATGGCTTTTCTTCCCTACCAGGGCAGCCTCAATTGTACTGTTTTTGGACACATTTTTATTGTGAAAACAGACGTCCTGCCTTAGCACTAGGCAGGTTTTAGTGCTTGTCTCAGTTGAGATTGTGCTTCACCTCGTGTCCCATTATTCCAAGTTGTATGTCAGGTCTGGTCCCTCTGTTAGGACTGAAATTAAAGGGTTTTGGCTGTGGAGGTATTTCAGTCAGCCACCTAAACTGTAACTCCTCTTTCTTGGTATGGCATGGAAGTTTGTCTTCAATTCCCTAAATCTGGCTGATGATGTGGAGTAGATTGAGGTAAGACAGGACATTGCTGTGGTGGCATTGAGGGGCCCTGTGATGTGGCAAGAGAAAGGCTGATAGACATTGACAGTGGAGCTATGCGCTCTGCGACTTTTGTAGGAAGCATTGAACCAAGTAAGTGGTGCAGAATGTGCAAGGTAAATGCTGAGTGACAGCAGGTGGATAGGAGGATATATTGCAAGGCTTTCGAATTAAGTTGTATAAAACTAAAGGAGAGGAATAGAAACAAGAAAAACATTAAGAGGGTAATACAAGATAAAGTTGTTATTTTGGAGTAGCCATTTTACCTGCTGGACTACAAGTTAGAATCACTTTAAGAGGTAGCCCTGTGCCTTGCTTCCCTGTCTTCCTTATCCAGGAGGAGTATTGCTTAATTTGTGGCTCCATGACTACTAATATCACTGTAAGGGATGTAGCAAAAATGTGGCAGAACACACCTATGTGTGCCAGTTAAACGTGAGGGTAGAACTACACTCTCACTTTAAATGCACAGCCCCACAATGTACCCCCAATGTGTAATTTACTTGTTGCATATTGTAACGATAACTGCAGATGAACAAAATTCTCTGTTCAACTACTTCTTTACATCTTTGTTATAATCAGAGAAGCAGTCCCATTGTGTCCCAAATGCCCTCTAGCACTGGTTCTAATTACAGCATTACTTTGAAAGGAAATTGCTTGTTTGACGGCACTAGTCAGAATTTTTAACTGGCAGTTGAGTGTACATTTCAGTAAGTGAAAAATAATCTACTGTATTACCAGCAAACCTTTGACCTTTTCACACAAAATACACAAATTTATGTGCGTACAGTAAGCCAGAATACTACTTATGTTCCTACCATGTTTGGTACAGAGAAGGCAACCACATGTCTGGGATTCCAACAGTATCTCTCTGCCAAGTTTTGGTTTGATCTTTCACTACTGGTTGGTAGATGCTCTGAACCACACCTGAATGAAAAAAAAAAAAGGC